GCATCGACAGCCGAGGGGTAGGTCCTGCCCTGCCTGCGGGAGGGGTGACCACACCAGGCAGGGCTGCAGCACACTGCCCCGGTGCCTCCTGGGGCTCAGGGCTGCTGGGAGCTGGCACCTTGCTGCATCCCAGTGCCGCTGCGTGTCTGCAATCACTCTGGGATGCTGACTGTCGCTTCTTCTCCCCCAGGGCATTTGCAACAACCACGGGAGGTGCGAATGCGGCAGATGCATCTGTGACAAGGCTTCGCTGTACACCAGCTCCACCTGCGAAATCAGCTACTCCCTGGTGAGGCTCAGCCTGCGTTCCTCGGGGTTTATGGCTTCTTCCCACCTAGAACCTCTGGGGAAGGAAAGCAGAGCAGAGACGAAGGCACATCTTGGTCAGGAGCAAAATCCTGAGCAGGGGTTAGTCTTGCCTGTCCTGCCTTTGGTGGCCAGGAAGGGTCTGGGCTGGGAGCTGCTCTGCAGCCAGGGGCTTGCTTTGCCCCGCGGTTCACCAGCAGCAACTGTTGGACATCTGTCTGGGTTCTGGACGTCTGTCTGGGTTCTGAACGTCTGTCTGGGTTTATGTGCACTCTGGTGAAGGGCTCAGCTCCTGACACATTCTGATTTGCCTCAAGGCTGGAAAAAATAATTTCATGGCCTGGTGCCTCAGTTTCCCCATTGACAAACATGGACTAATCCCACGGTGGGAGTGGAGAAAGCTGGCTTGGTCATATTTTGGGAAGGCCACCTAAAACCCTTGGAGAGTCTATAATCCCTGCCCAAATGTGGGCTGCTGGTATAAGAGGTTTTTTGGAGCCAGCGTCGTTAGCTGCTTGCTCTCTGTTATTCCTCTTTTCACCCTTGCCTTGTCTCCAGGGTGAGGACCCAGCGTGTCTCCTCCAGCCTTGCCCTCTGGAGGTGATGTCCATCCCATGGGCTATGTCCTGACCATCCCACCTTGCCTCCCTGCCCAGGGCTTCCAGGCCGTGTGCGAGAGCATCCGGGACTGTGTTCGCTGCCAGGCCTGGGGCACAGGCAACACCAAAGGGAACTGCAGCGCCTGCCACCTCCAGATCCAGATGGTGGAAGAGCTGAAGAAAGGTACTGGGAGAGGCAGACCTGGGTGCAGATGCATGTGGTGTGTCTCCCGTGGGCTCTGCCCCATGTGCGTGTGGGGCTGCTCCCCAAGCTTCTCCTGCTCGTGACGATTTTGCAGTCGTGTCCCCTCTCTGTCCACAGAGGAAGCCAGCGAGTACTGCTCGTTCCAGGACGAGGAGGACGATTGCACCTACCACTACACCCTGGAGGGAGACCCCAGCGTCCTCCCCAACACCACCGTCCACGTGCAGAAGAAAAAAGGTGAGCGGGGACCTGGCAGGAGGGGATGTCCAGCCTGGGGTCTGGATGAGCAGTGACCGGTGCGCACTGTGGCTCTGACCCTGCTCCGTCCCTTTGCTGTGCCCTGGGTATTGTCCGTGGCAGGCAGTACCTCCCTGCCCACCTTCTTTGTCACACGTGGGTGACATTGTCTGGCACATGAACTGCAGGGGATGGACAGCAGCATCCTCAGAGAGCAGCACCTTTAGAGATCGGTGCCTTTTCACTGCCCACACAGGCAGGGAGAGGTGTGAGGTGCTGAATAGCTCCTTGGGTTGGCTGGATGTGAGCAGGGAGGTGGGATAGCTCTCCCTGGATGGCACTTTCCATTGTAAGCACCAAGAGAGAAGTTCCCAAGCTTAAATTGGCTGCTCCATCCCTCAGGGAGCCGTGGTCCAGACCTTCCCCTCTGTCCCTGCCTCCCCATTCCCTCCCTGCACACCCCATGCAGGGGGCTGATGCCGGGAGTGACGTTGCTGTCGCTTGCAGAGTGCCCGCCGGGAAGCTTCCTCTGGCTCATCCCCCTCCTCATATTCCTCATCCTGCTCCTGGGGCTGCTGCTGCTGCTCTGCTGGAAGTTCTGCGCCTGCTGCAAGGTGAGTGCCTCGGCTGGCTGCCCCAGCCTAGGGAGAGAACCAGATAAAGACCAAAAATATAACAAATTTCCAGAATCCACCCAGCCTCCGGCACGGCCACCTTGGCAGGGTGGCATCCAGCACCTCTGCTGTTGCCGACACGAGTTGCTGTGGGATTTCCCCCAGTGAAGGGATGTCTGGCTAAAATCAGTCTCTAGAGCCCCATCCATCCCTGCTGATGTGAATCCTCCCAGCTGGAGACGTGGGGGTTTTTTACCCTTGGCTGCAAGCTGATCATGTCTTTGGCCGTTTGTTTTCTAGGCTTGCCTGGCCCTGCTTCCCTGCTGTGCACGAGGTACTGGCCCTTTGAACTGGTGGGGAGGGATCTGTGGGGTTCACTGCCTTCCTGGGCTGGGGGGGCATGCTGGGGCAAGCGTCCCTCCTCATCCTCTCTAGGCTGGGGACGTGGATGAGGGGAAAAGCTCCTGGCAGAGAGCCTGAGCCCAGGAGCCCTTTGAGCTGCTGCCCCACACCCCGGTGTGCCCAACTGGGAATCCCGCTGCTGGATCTCCCCGACCAGCATCCCTCATGATGTGTGCTCTCCTCGCTCCTGAACACTCCTTGCTGTCTCCACTCCACTCCTGACACCCTTGGCTTGGTGGAAGCCCTACAAATTCCCCAGGACGAAGTCCTCCGTGTTGGGAAGTTGATGGCTGGCATTGTCCCAGTCTGCCCAGACTCTGACCCTACCCCTGCTCCGCAGGTCGCACCGTTGGCTTCAAGGAGGACCACTACATGCTTCGACACAGCCTCATGTCCTCTGACCACCTGGACACCCCCATGGTCCGCACTGGGTCCCTCAAGGGTCGGGACACCGTCCGCTGGAAGATCAACAACAACGTTCACAAGCAGGGCCTCACCGCCCTGGCTGCTGCCACCAACCCCAAGGATCTCGGTGAGTGCCACACCCGAGGGACGGGGCACAGAGGAGATGCTGTGGGTGCCGTAAAGGACATGAATCCTTGGTAGTGACCCCCAGCTCCAGCAGCCACCCCCAAGCCCAACTGCAGGGTGGGGTGTTCCTTCTGCTTCCATCTCAGGGGAAGCTGAGCAGCACGTTCCCGTGTCCAGCCCTGGACTGGTGACAGCCTTGGAGACCTCCTGACAGCCTGGACATGGGGGGATGTACCCCGCGTGTGTCTTAGTCTCATTAGCTCAGTGGCCCAGCCTTGATTTTGGTTCACCATCAATCCAGAGTCACCACTGGGCATTGTTTCCTTTGCTGTTTTCTGGCTGGACCTGGTGCAGACCTTCCCAGTTAGTCCTCCTGCTCTCAGAGGGTTCCTCTGCTGGTGTTACGGGGTTTGGGTGCTGCCGTTACGGCATCTGGGCACCAAGCATCACGCGTGTCCCCACGTTTTCCAGCTCTTGGCTGGGTTATTTCTCTTGGCCAAGAAGGAAGGAGTTTGACTTGGGAATTTCTCTTTCCAGTTCCCTACGGGCTGTCTCTGAGGCTGACCCGGCTTTTCACGCAGAACCTGGTGAAGCCGGACACCCGGGAGTGCGAGCAGCTGCGCAAGGAAGTGGAGGATAATGTACGAGCCTGGGCACGAGGGGGTCTTGGGGTGGGGCTGGGGGACAGTCACACTGAGGGGTTGTCTGAGATGCTGGGGAAGGGGGAACGCCCTTTCCCTGTGAACTCAGAGGGAGTAATTTTCCCTCTTTTTGAAAGAAACACAAACGTTACGATCACGACTGTGAGAATTATCGAAGCATCACGTTGATGAGATTTGCAGTTTGCTTCGGGGCACGTGGTCTGAAGCTCCTGTTTGGCTTCGGTTCGCAGCCTCTTGCCATCTCCTGGGGAGAAACCTCGTGGTGGTCTCTGCCTGGTGTGGTGGGGAGAGGGGGGAGGACCCGGGGATGTCTCGAGGGCTCTTGTGTTTGCTGGTAGCAGTGTTTGCTCGCTGAATACATCCCTGTTGTGAAAGTCCCTCTTACTCCCTGCAGCTGAATGAGGTTTTCAAGAATGTCCCCGGCTGCCACAAGCTCCAGCAGACCAAGTTCAGGTGAGTCACTGGGGAGAGACTTCCCATGGGGCAGGGTTCCCCCAGGGTCCTGCTGATGGACCAGAGGGCTGGGCTGTGAAATCTGGGGTTCCAGGAGGGAGCGTGGTCTGTGAGACATCCCCGGCACAAGCCTGCTGTGGTGCTTCACCCCCCCCCAGGGCTGCAGAGCAGAGCCCACACCGCTGTGCAGGTGATCTCAGCTCCATCTCGCTCTGGACCTGCCGGGTCCAGACCAGGACAAATCCTGGTCGCATGGTGCTCAACGGGAGAATTCCCACCGACTCCAAAAGTGTCAATCCTGTGCAAAGTTACAAGTGCCAGGCACAGGATGGAGGAATCGGGATGCTGGCACGGAGCAGGGAGTCTTCTCCCCTCCCCATGGCTCTGACCAGATGTGATGTCCCCCGTGGGCACGTTCCTCATTACTTGGGAAACCCAGGGCTGGAGGGAGCAGCCAGGCAGGAGGGAACGTGTGTTGTGGCCACAGGCTCTGCAGGACGGGTTGGCACCCGCAGGGCAGCTGCCACGGCTCAGACCTGCACAGGACTGTGACTCACACAGAACTTTGTCTCCCCAAATGCCTTAGTCACTCTGATTTGGTTTTTTTATACCCCCAGGTTACAGCCCAATTCTGGGAAAAGGTAAGAGGAACTCGCAGCCCTGTCTTGTGCCGCTTCTCCCTCTTTGTCCACACACGTGTGGGGTGGCTGAATGCCCCACGCACTCGCCAGCCCCTCCAACTGCTACATGAGATGAGCAACCCTGGCCTCAGCTCTTATCTGGCTCTCTCTTCCCACCGGTCGCAGGCAGGACCACACCATTGTGGACACGGTGCTCACCGCCCCTCGCTCAGCCAAGCCGGAGATCATCAAAGTGATGGAAAAGCACGTTTCCCACGAGGCTTTCAATGACCTGAAGGTTTCACCAGGTTACTACACTGTGACCTCAGACCAAGGTACGGAGCAGAGCTGAGGGCTGTCTCCTGGCTGGGCAGGAGGGACATTTCCCACCTCTCACCATTGCCCCTTCCTCCAGATGCTCATGGGATGGTGGAGTTCCAAGAGGCTGTGGAGCTGGTGGATGTCCGTGTCCCACTCTTCATCAGGGAGGATGATGATGATGAGAAGCAGCTGCAGGTGGAGGCCATTGATGTCCCCACTGGCATCGCAGAGATTGGACGCAGGCTTGTCAACATCACCATCATCAAGGAACAAGGTGAAGGGGCTGTGACCGTGGCATGAGATGAAGGGCGTTTGTGTTTGAGTGTCCCATGTCCAGATGGCTTCTAAGGAAGGTACAGCTTCTGTATTGGAGATCCCCCACATCGCAGACCAGAGGTTTGCCTGGTGACTCCTAAGTCACCTGTTTCTAAACTAGAGCATCTATTAAAGCATCCAAGGGAGGCTTGTCATCCTTGGTGACAGAGACCCAAACATTTGACCACCACAGGTTGCTACCAATTCCATGGCAGATCCAGGGCTGACCACATGCCTCTGCTGCTCCAGTTCACAGGCTGCTGGAGTAAAGTAAACACTTTCTGCTGTGGTGCTGTGCTTGGGGCAGGTCAATGTCCCCAGCAGTTTGCCTCTACTTCCCGTCTGGTTGTTCTGAGCAGGGAGCAAGAGTCAGGGGTGGTAAAGTCTCCAGCCCATGCAGTAATGTTTCATACGCAGCTCACACCCCTGGGCAATAGGAACTCTGTTCAGGGAGGACACTTGTGTGTTTGTAATGTGATTCTTCATGCATTTGCTCTACTCATCCCTTCTCTCCTGTCCCTTCCAGCCAGCAGCCTCATCACCTTCTTGCAGCCAGCCTATTCCCACAGCCGCTTTGATAAGGTGGCCAAGATCCCTGTCCTCCGGGAGATCATCGACAATGGGAAATCCCAAGTCACCTACAGGACCCGGGATCTCACCGCCAAGAATGGCAGGGTGAGGGTGATGCTCCTGGCCTCAGCAGGCAGGAACGAGTGGGGACAGAGGGCTGGGAAGGAACTGAGCCCAGGGCTGCAGAAGAGCAGCTGATGGGGCTCAAAGCAGGATGTGGCTTGGAGAGGGGAGACCCAAGGCTTGAGGCTAGCACGGGGCAGACATTCCCCTCCATCTCTTGCTCCCTGTGCCTTCAGGGACCTGAGAGGCTGCCTGTACCTGAGGCAGAGGGTACCAGCTGCCCTCCCGAGCTGTGGGCACTGGGAGACAAGTGAGGCTTCACTGGGAGACAAGGGGAAGCTTTCTGAGAGCATCTCATGGATGCTGCAGGTTATAATCACACGCCTCTTCCTTCTCCTCCAGGACTACGTCTTCACAGAAGGTGACCTGGTCTTCCAGCCTGGGGAGACCCGAAAGGAGGTGCAGGTCCCCTTGATGGAGCTGACCGAAATAGACACCCTCCTGCACAACCGCCAGCTCAAGCAGTTCGCCATCGACCTCCTCCATCCCAAGTACGGCGCCAAGATTGGCCGATACCCCCAGACCACTGTGACCATCGCCGACCCAGGTAGGGGCTGGCAGCCAGTCTGTGGGGAATGGCAGAGCAGGGGGTGTGGGACCCCCACACCGGGCCAGCCCACCCCGAGGGGGTGTACAGAGCTCCAGCCCTGCTCCTCTCCCAAAAAGCAGCAATGAAGAAGTTCAAAGAGGCAATGAGGAGGTTCCTCCAGCTCCGACTGGTAGATTTGGGCCTCCCTCTAGAGGCAGCAGTGGGTATAGACAGTGGGTGGGAAGAAGATGGATAATCGGCCTCAGAAAAGGAAAATAGAGTGTATTCTTCATTCCTTTTCCTTGGGGATTTGAATAAAAAGCTATAAAACTAGGGGGGAGGCAGGGCTTGCCATGAGCTGTGCTTGGTGGTTCCTGTGGATGGACAAGCAAAACTGTGAGGGTTGTCATCGAGTGGGTCGTATTTATCACTGTCCTGGTCATGAATGCTACGAGAAAGTCCCTTGTCACTGGACTAGAATGACTTCAAGGGCAGGTGCTGGGGCTGGAGAAGCTCCAGAGAGCTCTTGGCTGGACTTGGTGGGTTTCCAGGAGAAGCAACTGGGCGACTTGAGAAGGCTCTGCCCATCTCCGTCTTCTCTCATGGCTGCACAGGGCAACTGATGGAGAAGTTGAAGCATTATTAAATGCATTCAGACAGAGCTAAAGATTTTCAGAGGCAAGAAGGTGGTCTCTTAAGTTCCTCCTACCTGGGCAGCTTGTGAGAAGCAGCAGGAGGTGCAGGAGTTGAGGGGTCTGAGCCTGACACCCATGCCAGTTTGCTGTGTGTCTTTGGGGGACATTATCACCAAGTGCCTCAGTTTCCCTTCCCTACGATGGGGATCTGCCCCTCAGGAGTGCTTTGAGAGGCTCACTCAGGATGGCAGGGCAGCGCTGGAGAGAGGCACACTTCCTTCTTTTCCTCCCACACAGGGAACTAGTGCTGATGTGACCTTTCTTCCTTGTGTTTGCAGAGGTGGTGGATGGTGTCCCCTCGATGGCTGGCCTGAGCCAGGTCTCCCAGTCCCCCAAAGGCCGCCTGAGTGCACCGCTTAATCCCAATGCCCACGCGCTCAGCTCCAGGGAAATCCGCTTCAGCTGGTTTCCTCCACCAGGAAAACCTCTGGGGTACAAGGTATGGGGTGAATGGATCCGGGGTGAAGGTGTGGGTCCCATCCTGCCGGTGTTTCACACACACAGCCGTTTGTGCTGAAGGGATGGAGAGAAGATACCCAAAGGAGGGAGCAAGCTCAGCCCTTCTGGCCTCTTCCATCCTTGAGGGACCGTTGCTGGGTGGGTGTGGGATTTGCAGGAAAGATTCTTGGTAGATTCATATTCCTTTCCATCACTTACCATGAAATGCCCAGACTGTTCTGTCCTCCCATTTCAGAGGAGTGCCACAGCACCCTGGCTTTCCCAGAGCAGATCTAACAAGAGATGGGGAATTTCTCACCTGCTATGGTGAGATCTGAAGGAATCATGGCTTGCTTCTGCTTTGCCAGGTGAAATACTGGATCCAAGGGGACCCCGAGTCAGAAGCCCACCTCATCGATGTCAAAGCACCATCAGCAGAGCTGAGTAACCTCTATCCCTTCTGTGACTACGAGATGCAAGTCTGTGCCTACAACGCCATGGGTGAAGGGGCTTACTCCGACATCATCCACTGCCGCACGCTTGAGGACGGTGAGTGGCTCTGCATTTTGCATCCCACCATGTGGGAGCATGTTGGTGCCTGTGCACCCAGCATGGGATCAGGGCTCCAGCCCTGAGCTTCTGATGGTCTTGGGGACAAGCACTGGGCAGCTCCCACTGTGACCCAGCTGTGATCTGGGGAGCTCTGGGTTTCTGTGTGCACTGGCTTCTGACTTGCGGTAACCTGGACCCTTCGCTCTTGCCTTTCCAGTCCCCAGTGAGCCCGGCCGCTTGGCTTTCAATGTCGTGTCTTCCACTGTGACACAGCTGAGCTGGGCTGAGCCTGCAGAAACCAACGGGGAGATCACGGCTTATGAAGTCAGTTATGGACTCGTCAACGAGGACAATGGTAAGAGCTCCTTTTCTGACTGGGGCAGTGCAGCCAGGCTGCGTCGGTCCCAAGCGGCCGCAGAACCAGAACGGCTCCAAGCCTGTTTCCTGTGAAAATTGGGATCTGGAGGGGTCACTTCTTGATGGAAGGAGTACAGAAAAATCACCACTCAGGGTTTAATCCTGCAAATCCTGGAGCACTCTCAGTTCCCACACACTTCCATGGTGTTTTGTGTTGTTTTTCAACTTAAAAACTTAGTTCATAGGACCAGACCTAGGGCTTGGGTGTTAAGAAGAAGCAATTTGGTGACACACCAGCAACAGGAGACCTTTGCTGTAGGTTGGCTTCAGCATTCAGTTTGGGAATTTCCCCAAGACGATGTCATGCCTGTTGTGAGCAGCCCAAACAGCTGCTGCACCTTTTCCCAGAGCCAGGCTCTGTCCTGACACCCAACCTCAGCGAGCCTGTTGGCCAAGGGTGGGGTGCTGTGGGGTCCCTTGTGTCTCGTGACCTAGTGGGTGACAGGCATACCCATATTCACAGTACCCATCGGCCCAATGAAGAAGGTGCTGGTTGAAGACCCCAAGAAGCGCATGGTGCTGATAGAAAACCTGCGGGAGTCCCAGCCCTACCGCTACATGGTGAAGGCCAGAAACAGTGCTGGCTGGGGACCTGAGAGAGAAGCCACCATCAACCTTGCCACGCAGCCCAAGCGACCCATGTCCAGTGAGTTACTGCCCTGCTTGGGTGGGGAGCAGAGGGGGCAGGAGCAATGCTGGGGGGTGCTCCCCATCACCCCAGCTGCTTCTCCACATCCTGTTCGCTCTGCTGCTGCACCAGCCGCCCTGGGGAATGCTGAAGGCCAGCCTGAGCGTGGGAGGCCAGTGTGGCTTTGAGCTGCTTGTCTGACGGCACTTTCCACCTCTCCTCCAGTCCCCATCATCCCTGATGTCCCCATCATTGATGCAGAGGGAGGAGAGGACTACGACAGCTACCTGATGTACAGCGCAGACGTGCTTCGCTCTCCAGCTGGCAGCAAGCGTCCCAGTGTCTCTGATGATTCAGGTGCGTTGCTCTGAGTTTTGCAAAGGTTGTTTTTAACTTTAATTTTCCTTAACAACAGCTGTCAGGAATGAGCTTCACTGCTCCTTTCCTCCTCACGGAGATGGGGAGATCCAAGTCATGGAGATGGTGGAGTTCAGCCTTTCCAAAGCACAGTAACTGCATCCATGGGAACACTTGACTAGTCACAGTGTAAATAAGACCCGTGCCTCCTTGTCTTAGTCATGAGGCAAAGAGAAATCTCAGCATGGGGTGGGAGAGGAGCTTTTCATGGCCATCCCTGCTCTTCTTCCCTTCCTGTTGCCATTTGGCTGGACCACGAGAGTTACTGTCACCAAACAAACACTTGCAAGGCACAGACCTCCGAGTCCCAGGGATGCTCAGGGTCTTGGCCAAGCCAACAGGAAGGAACTCACCAAGTGCTGGGAAGGCACTGGCCTCTCTTCCTCCATCCCTTCACTCTCTGAATGAGACTGGCTGTCTTGTACTGGGACAATGAGAGGAAGATGGGCCATAAGTGAAATGAGGAGGCTTGTCAGCAGGATCTGGAGGGTCTTCCCTGGGGGGGTTCTCCAGAGCCTGGGATACAGCAGCGAGTCCCTGGTCCTTTCAGAGAGCAAGGTAATGGGAACACCAAGAATCCAACCATTCTGAGCGCACATCAAGGAGTGAGGAAACCTCTCCTGAGCAGAAAACAATTGTCACAGGATCTTCATGACAGGGACAGGCGTGTGGTGGGACTTTGACTCTCGCCTTTTGTCATGATGGACACAGGGCTGGAAAACAGCCCTGGGGCTGAGGAACGCCATGCATGTCACATTCCCACCATCCTCCATCTACCAGTCACATGATGGTTGCACCGCCTGAACTCATCAGCCAACACTTGGCGAGACGGGCTGTGAACAAGTATTGTTCCCACCGGCACCTGCCCCTTCCCCTCCCCAGTGAGCAGCACGAAGGTGGTGGGTAGCCCACTCTGTCCCTGCAGATCATGCCAACACCAGTGCTTGCGTTGTCCCAAAAGGCTCCAGGTGGAAACATGTGCAGTTGCTGGGAGAAGACTTGGATCTTCGCCGCATCACCTGGAGGCTCCCACCTGAAACCATTCCCCGCTTCTCTGGCAGCAGCCGCTTCTCCTCGGACACCGAGGGTCTCCTCCACGAGGAGGACAGCGATGTGGCTACTGGCAGCCTGAGGAGGAGCGCTACGCCCCAGCCCCAAGCAGGTGAAGGACGGCTTCATTACAGCACTGAGTGTCCTGTCTCGTCCTGCTCTGAGCTGAGGGGCCAGCGGCTGGGGTCTGCCCCAGTACGTGTCTGCTTCCTCCCCCTGTGTGCCCATCCTCATGTTGGCATGATGCTGTAGTCTGCTTCAAAGCCTTCTCCTGGTGTGTCTGCTCACAAGAGTGTCAAGGTAACCCCCATCTCGGCATGGACTTGGGAGCCTGCTAGCAAGTTGCTTCTACAAAAGGTTGGACCTTCGAGGCTGGAGCAAACTCAGATGATACCTGCTAAGTGCACCTCCAAGGGCAGCTCCTCACCTTAAGTGCCCTGAGCATATCTGCTGGACTGTTAAACAGAAATCACTCTCTCATGGGTAGCTGATCTCTCCTGTCCTGCTGGGAAGGGATGGGGGTTTGTCAAGGACCAGAACAACGGAGCAGAGTTTGCTTTTCAGATTCAGATGAGTTGGGATCCAGAATGAGATTTGGAGAAACCACCTCCATAAAGGGCTGATTTCCTTCTTCCGCCTTCTTTTTTAATTGGAAATTATAAACTTCTTGTGTCTAAGGAGAGATGTGAGAGAACATGGCAAGAACCACAAGGCAGTGCCCCAGCGAGGCCGAGGTCTGGCGTTACCTTGGGCACCATGGGTGTTTCTGGTGCTGGGTGTAGGGCAAAGTCTCCATTTACCTATTTGTTTTGGCATCATCACGTTGGGTGGTTGTGGCTTGTTCTAGATGTAGTGCTCCAGAACAATCTCCCAGAGTGGCTGAAGCCGGGATGCAGCCAAGGCACTGTGATGCCTCCTGCTTCCTCCCCATGGAAAGTGGAGCAGCAGCCCTGCCCACAGCCACGTTCCTCACAGTGTGCCTTCTTTCACAGAGCACTTGCTGAATGGCCGGGTGGATTTCTCCTTCCCCGGCAGTAACAGTGGCACGCTGACCAGGACAACGAACACCAGCTACCACCAGCTGAGCTCACATGTGCAGCAGGAGCACAGGGTGATGGGGAGCTCCTCGCTGACGAGAGACTACTCCACAATGCTGATGGGGCATGGTGAGTACCATGGTGATGGGACCGGTCCTTCCCTTCCACCCCGTGACTGTCTTCAGACCCGTGCCCTGAGTCCTGTTGGGGTGAGGACTGTGTTCACAGCTAAGGGGGCCTTTTGGCTCCACACGTGTACACCAGCTGGAGCTGACGGAAGATTGTTAAAAGGCTGTTCAAATGTGAGCCTTCAAATGTCATCTCTGCAGGAGCCAGTACCTGGGCTGAACGTGCTCTGAAGTCTCTTTCTCTTGCACTGCTTCTCTAGATTACCCGGGGAGACTCCTCCCTCCCATCCATGAAGATGCTGGGAGGACAATCTCACGGCCCCGGGATGTGGGTTTCAGGCGCAGGGCAAAGGTGAAGGGTTACTACCCCAGCATTGGCTTTCGGGACTCTATAATCATGACTGATGGGTCTGCGGGGATTTGCAAGTACATAGGTACAGCTTTGTCCAGTGTCTCCTCCCAGCCATGCATCCCATAACAGCCAAGCCACCGGCCATCCATGAGCTGTTGCCATCCACTGCTCACCCCAAACCTCTCCATGGCTTGCTGTGTGCCACACTGATCTTCCTCCTGATCTAGCCTGTGCCTCCATCACACCACCTTTCCATTTGCAGGTGCCTTCAGCTGTTTCAACCCACCCAGGCTGATTAACACCACCACTGCCACCGTCACCACCACTGCCACCGTGCTCTAGCCAACTGATCAGCTCATTGTCCCCATCCTCTTCATTGCTAACAAGCTTGTTGTTCTCTGTCTTACCCCACAGGCCTCTGGAGGACTCTTTGGGAGAACATGTGCTCCATGTGGGATGTCCCTCTGCAAGCTCCTTGCCCAGAGCCCATGTCAATGAGGGGCTTCAGTCCCCGAGTGTCACCTGGGAGGCTGCTGTCCTTGCCATGAGCCCTGTGTCCCAGTGGGTTGAGTTGTGGGGGAGCCAGAGCACCCAGTCCTGATCCCAGTTCCCCCGTCCCCTTGAACAGTCCCTGGAGTGTTGGGCTGCTTTAGCTATAGACTGGGGCCAGTCCCAACTGAGCTACATCTGAAGATGTCTGTGAAGCTTCTGGTAGACTGGACAGAGTGCTTTGGGGTGTGGGAGAAGGAGCACACAGAGCACCCGGGCCACTGCTCTGGTCTCTGCCACAGGGGCATGAAGCTTACCTTGACTTGTGCCACCCAAGGTTGGCACCCCAAGGCCATGGAACATCACTGTAGGTGGGCAGAACCAGTCAGTCCCCCTTGTGTTGGGCCAGCTTGCAGAGAGACATCTCGCCACATCCTCCCTGGACCATTGGCACCATCCCGCTCTTGCGCGTGCCACTCCCTCCTCTCCCCCAGCCCCCTTAGCTCCCAGCCCCCGTATCTCCACCCTGATGTTCCTTTTTTGCCTCAGACTCCAGGCTCCCACTGGGCATCCCCGACACCCCCACGCGCCTGGTGTTCTCTGCCCTGGGACCCACCTCCCTGAAGGTGAGTTGGCAGGAGCCGCACTGCGAGAAGGAGGTGCAGGGCTACAGCGTGCAGTACCAGCTCCTCAATGGAGGTCAGTGAACATGCGGCCGGTGTCCACCAGGCAGGTGGTGGTGGGAGTTTCTGGTGGTGGAGTCTCATCTGGGTCTTCTTCTGGGCAACTGGCTCTGGGTGACCCTGCTTGAGCTGGGGGGTTGGACCGGCTGACCTCCAGAGTCCCTTCCAATCTCAGCCATTCTGGGACTCAGGGACTTGTCCCAACTCTGCTTTTTGTATAGCCTTGAGGAAATGTCTCAGCTAGCCCACAGCCCTCATTCCCTCTTTCTGCTGGGGGGATAATTCCTGGGGTTGCTTGTGGAGTCACCCCTCCTCCAAAAAACCTTGGAGTTGTTCTCCACCAGCCCCAACATCTTAGCTGAAGGTTTTCTCATCACATTGGACTTGGAGGAAGGATTGGAATGAAAATCTCATATTTTTACATGAAACTTGAGGCAACATTAGTGAAAATGTAATTCTCTTTGGCTGAAAAACCTTGAGTTTTCAAGAAGCTGCTGTTTGTCCCAACCTGTTTTTGGAACAATATCTTATCCTGCACTACCAGTTGTTGGTGGCAAGGTGTGATGGAGGTGACCAGGGAGGGCCCCCAGATGACTTTTCCCGGCAGTTTGTTTGAGACAGAGTTTAGGCGAAAGCCATGGTTCTGTCTTTGTGCCTGCAACATGATGCTGACATCCCCCTTCCCTGTCCATCCCAGGAGAGGTCCACCGCCTCGCCATCCGCAACCCCAGCCAGAATTCGGTGGTGGTGGAGGACCTGCTGCCCAACCACTCCTACATCTTCAAGGTGAAGGCGCAGAGCGAGGAAGGCTGGGGCCCCGAGAGGGAAGGAGTCATCACCATCGAGTCCCAGGTGGACCCGCAGAGCCCACTCAGCCCTGTGCCAGGTGAGGTGGGGGGTGGCAGGAGAAGGGTGGCACTGATGCCTCTGCTGCTGTCTACCGTGCTGGCCTTGGTTTTCTCTCCCCTTACCACATCCTGAGCTCTCCTTTCCTTCCTTTCTTTTAGAACTAGGACTTTCTTCCCCATGCACTCACCTTCCACTAGCTGTCTGGATAGCTGAGACCTTCCAGCTCGTTTCATAAATGCCGTGTGCTGATCCCTCCCTCACCACCTCCCATGATCCTGACCTCTGTCTCATGCTCTGCAGGTTCACCCTTCACGCTGAGCACACCCAGCGCTCCCGGACCACTGGTTTTCACTGCCCTCAGCCCTGACTCCCTGCAGCTCAGCTGGGAGAGACCCCGCAAGCCCAACGGGTCCATCCTGGGCTACATGGTCACCTGCGAGATGCTGCATGGAGGAGGTATGGTATCAGGCTGTGGAAGACCAGTTCCCTGTGCAGAGAATGAGAAGCCTCCAGCAAAGGCAGCAACTTGCTGCATTTTTGCTGGGATCAGCAAAAAAAAATTGTCTGTCAGTGCAGACAGAGTAGGGACATGAGGCTGATCCCAGGTCTGGGAGCTGCTGGACCCTGACGCTTTGTGTCACTGCATGGTCTGGTATAACAAATGTGGTGGGAAGAGGAAGGACCTGTAGCTTATTACAGCCCAAACCCAGAGCAGGGTGCTGAGGATCACCACTGTAACAAAATAGGGTCGTCTTAGCCCTCAGTAGAATTGGATGGTGTGACCATGTGGGTGGCATAGAGCTTAGGGAAAGCCAAGACAGCAGCCAGAACTGGGGCAGTGTGTTTGGAGGGACCATCACTCCTCTCTCTTCACGGCTGGTATGTCTGTGTGGATTAGGGGAACCCAGGAATATCTACGTCGAAGGAGACAATCCAGAAACTACCCTGACTGTGCCCCACCTGAGTGAGAATGTCCCATACAAGTTCAAAGTGCAAGCCAAGACGACCCAAGGCTTTGGGCCAGAGAGGGAAGGCATCATCACCATCGAATCTCAGGATGGAGGTACTGTACCATGTCTTTGTGGAGGTGGAAAGATAAGAAATGCCTCAGAGCATGGAACACAACCCTTGGACCGTTTTCTATGAAAGACATGAAGACATTGTCTTCCATGAAGACAGTGCTTTGCCTTCTAAGCACTGTCCCAGTCCTGATGCACTGAACAGTGGAGGATCCTGAGAACCTGCCAGTGTTTAATTTATTATGAAACTTCTGTCTTATGCCTGATTGTACACAAACATGGAGGCAGCTGCTTATATTGCACAGGTCCCCAGTCCTCCCAGTTCCTCCTAAACCTGGCTCTGATGTCAGCAAGAGAAACCTCCTGAGCAGGGTCGAGGGGTTGGAAGCTCCTTGGTTCCTGGCTGACTTGTCCCTTTTCCTTCTCCCCAGGCACTTTCTCCCAGTTTGGAGGACAGCAGTACATGAGAGAAGAAGTGTACAACTTCCCCACCGAATACACCACCAAAACCAGTATCAGCCATTCCTCTCTGGATCCCCACTTCACAGGTAGGGGCTTGCTGCCTGCCTTGAAACCCTCAGAAAGCAAAGGATAACTCTGCTTGTCCAGGGTGCTTCTATCTCAAATGTCCAAGGCAGGGAGGGAGGGTCCATCAGGTGGGATGGATGAAGAGGACCAGACCCTTTCCTACACCGTGTCCCTGTGCTGCTCCAGAGGCAGTTGCAGTCATTTCCCCATGTGCTGCCCAGTCACAGAGGGAATGCTGAGCTTTCAAAGTCCCCCAAGACTATCCCTAGGGACCAAATAGCTCCTCCTGCAAGGGTAGATCTCTTCAGAGCAGGAGAAACAAGAGAAGTGTGATGACCACCTTTAATTACATCAGTGTAGTTGACCCATGTTGTCTCACTTGAGTTCATGGACTCATGGGTTCACGCTGCAACATGGAGAGTTTGGGAGCTGTTAGGAGATCCATCTTGTTGACTGTCATAGTAAAGTACTGAATCACTTGGTCTGGAGAGGTTTTCCACCAGTGAAAGTGGTATTCAAGGAGAAACCTCTGCCAGGAATCATCAGGTAGAGCAGATCCTGTTCCCTGTGTCCCTGTCCTGACCACTGGGCTCCTCATTGCAGATGGCATGCTGATGACAACCCAGCGAGTGGAGAGTGCCAGCAGCACCCTCACCAAACAGGTCACCAAAGAGTTTGTGAGCCGGACCGTGATGTCCAGCGGCACCGTCACCAAACAGATGGAGAGGCAGTTCTACGAGGCCTGAGCCAGGGCAGGCTGCCCGCCAGTGGGACATCGGTGTTCAGAGGGTAGGGCTTGGTGGAACAAAGGGGGCTTCACCCAGATGGTGCCTGGGCAGCTCCTCCTGTGGGCAGAGATCCTCCATGGCACTTCCAGCTCTGGACCTCTCCTTTGGAGCCCAGTGCACTCAAAGCTCTGGCACGGCTGGGTCATCAGGTGTGTGCTCCTCCTTCAGGGCTTGTTCACCCTGTCCTGCTCTGCCGAGACTCCGTTCTGCAGAGTCCACAGGGACGTCTTCCACGAACAACCACTGCTCACCCCAATACCCTTCTCCAGTGCCCATCCATCCAAATACACCCCCAGAAATCCAGGTGTCCTTATGGCTCCAGCCTCCCCAGATAAATGGAACAGAATGATTTATTCTCAGGTCCTCGGTTTTGAGAGGATCCCAGCTGGCTACATCCTGGTTTATGGAGGGTCACCATTTCCATCTTTGCTCTCCGGCAACTTGGCTGTCCACTGGAGATGGTTACTTTGCTCTGTTTTTTGGAGTTGGTTTGTTTCTGTTTTGTTTTGGGGTTTTTTTGTTTAAATATGAGAGCTGCAAGGTAGGGGTTCAGGGTAACCGATGCTTTCTTACCGCACCTATTTGTGTCTATTCTTCGCTGCTAACATTTGGTACCACGATAGCAAAGTATAGCCTTTCATTTGTATAGCGTTAACTTGTGATGGCCTCTGATGCTGCTTTTTTTTTTTTTT